AAGAAGAAGAAGAAGAAGAAGAAGAAGAAGAAGAAGAAGAAGAAGAAGAAGAAGAAGAAGAAGAAGAAGAAGAAGAAGAAGAAGAAGAAGAAGAAGAAGAAGAAGAAGAAGAAGAAGAAGCAGCAGCAGCAGCAGCAGCAGCAGCAGCAGCAGCTGGGGGTGGAAATGAGGAAGGGGGGAAGGGGGAGATGATGGAGACGGGGTGGAAAGAGGGAACCACTGAGATACAAAGGAGCAGCTTATGGAGGTCTGAAGGGTTGAAGGGCAGAGAGCTTGGGGGTAAGAGAGGCAGAGAGAGGAAAGCAGGACCAAAGAGAGAGCAGGTCCCCCAAGCTTGTGCTCCCCCCCCCATTCCAGCAAGGCCTCCCTCAGACCTTCTTCTGCATTGCTCAGTCTCTGCCCCAAGGATTTATTACTTCCTTCACTTTCTCTGAAACTTGTCCTCTTTTGGTGCTGATCCTACACTTTGCCAGCCCAAAGCAAGGCAGATTCCCGTTCCCAGAGGGGCTCTCCTGGTGGGGGTGGGAGGAGGGGATCAGCAGCTTTCGGGCCCGATTTCAAAGTGCCCAGAGGGGGGAGGGGGAGCGGACTAGAAAGAGGACCGAATCAGGATTCTCTTTCTGGGAATAACCTTTTTTGGGGGGGAGGAGTGTTGACCCGGAATTAGGAGACAGCATAGGACAGTGGTGGCGAACCTATGGCACGCGTGCCAGAGGCGGCACTCAGAGCCCTCTCTGTGGGCACGCGCCATTGCCCCAGCAGCCCCCAGAGAGTCGCCCCCGGGCACGGCCCGCATTGAGCAGCGCAGCCAAGAACATGGCAGCCAGGCAGCAGGGACAAGACTCCGCCTTCGCACCCTGACACGTGCAGATGATGTTGCTGGGTGCGGGTGGACGGTGTGGCTGCCATGGCGCTACAGCAGTGGTTCTCAACCTTTTTAATGACGCGACCCCAACCGGTCGTAAGTCGAGGACTAAACCGGTCGTAAGTCGAGGACTACCCAACCAGTCATAAGTCGAGGACTTTCCCTGCCCGAGAGCGCCGCGCATGCGTGGTTCCGCCCCCTGCGCCAGCCGAGACGTAGCTGGAAAGCGGCAGAGACGGAGCAGGCCGACTACCAGCTGGCCCAGCCCAAGGGAGGTAAGGCACCCGCCGGAAAAGGGGGAAAAAATGGCGGACAAAAAAAATGGCGGACAGCCTTGCTTGGCGACCCCCATGAAATGGTCGATCGACCCCAAATGGGGTCCCGACCCACAGGTTGAGAACCACTGCACTACAGGGCCACCTGAGTGATCTGCGGCGGGCCATGGAGGCGGTCAGTGGCCCTGGGAGTGCAGAGGCGGAGCAGGGGGCGGAGTGGGGGTGGAACAGGGGCAGGTGGGCGAGCCAGGGGGCGGAGTGGTTTTTGGGCACTCAGTCTCTAAAAGGTTCGCCATCACTGGCATAGGAAGTTATCAATTGTGAATATGTGCAGACGGCCCTGCTGTCTTTGGGCACTTGCAGAGTCCTGGATGCAGGGTCATGAAAGGACAGCAG